GGCATCTACCCAAAAGATAAAAGTCACTTTATGAAAAAGACACCTGCACTCGAATGTTTATAGCAGCACAATTCACATTGCAAGTTGTGGAAACAACCCAAGTGCCCATCAATTCGTGAGTGGATTAATAAAATGTGGTATATGTATAGCATGGAATGCTACTCAGTTTTTAGAAACAATGGTGGAATAGCACCTCTTGCTTATATTCCTGGATAGAGCTGGAACCCATTCTACTAAGTGAAGTATCTCAAGAATGGAAAAACCAGGGGGCCGGGTGTGGTGGCTCACGCCTGTAATCCTAGCTCTCTGGGAGGCTGAGGCGGGCGGATTGCTCGAGGTCAGGAGTTCGAAACAGCCTGAGCAAGAGCGAGACCCCGTCTCTCACTATAAATAGAAAGAAATTAATTGGCCAACTAATATATACAAAAAAAAAATTAGCCGGGCATGGTGGCGAATGCCTGTAGTCCCAGCTACTTGGGAGGCTGAGTCAGGAGGATTGCTTGAGCCAGGAGTTTGAGGTTGCTGTGAGCTAGGCTGACACCACGGCACTCACTCTAGCCTGGGCAACAAAGCGAGACTCTGTCTCAAAAAAAAAAAAAAAAAAAAAAGAATGGAAAAACCAGCACCACATGTACTCACCAGCAAATTGGTATTAACGGATCAACACCTAAGTAGACATATAGGAGTAACACTTATTGGGTGTTGGGAGGGTGAGAGGAGGAAGGAGGGGATGGCTGTATACAACCAAACGAGTAAGATATGCAAGGTTTGGGGGATGGACACGCTTGAAGTTCTTACTTGAGGGAGAGGGGCATGGGCAATATAAGTAACCTTAACACTTGTACCCCCATAATATGCTAAAAAAAATTCATGCAAATCAATGAAAAACCAGGTTTTTCAGGATGTAGAATCAGAAATACTACTCAATATTTAACCTGCTGGAAAGAACACTGATTTTTGATAATTCTGCTCTTATGCAGCATCATTTCTATTAAATAGGAAAAACCTGAGAAAGGATAAAATGTTGAGGTCTCCCTATTTCTTCAAGAAATAACCTTCCTCCTGAAAGCCGACATTCTGTGCCCACTGGTTTCCACTGGGGACCGACTGAGCAGCAATACTGCACTTGCCTCCGCCATGGGCTGCTATAGGGTAGAGATGCCATGCCTCTCAATGGGATCAATTTTTTGTTTGTTTTTAAAAAGTGTTTATTTTGATAATAGCAAATAATGGCCTTCTTTCTACTTAATATTAGTATTTCTGTTTAATACAAAGATAATATTTAGGTAACTTTAGGAGAAATTAACTTTAAAAGTACACTTTCTGATTAGCTTTTCCTTTAATAATGATCGGGACCCTTTTTATAGATTTGGTCCCATCATCTCCACTTTATATCTGTTTGTGAAATCATGAATTCTCTTGCTCATTCTGAATACTAAATCGATCCAATAGTTTCCTAGCTTCTCTCTAGCAAACCTAGTTTCTTATAATCCACAATATCAAGAATGCTCCTTTCTCCCATTTCTTGCCCCTGAGCATTTCTGACTGGCTTCACAAAGGGGATCACAGCACACTGTCCTTTCTGCCCCGGCTTGCCCAGAGCCCTAAATTTCAGTGAAAGACATTTGTTTTATAAGTGGAATTTTAAAGAATCCAAATCCTTATTCTTTCTGATTAAACATATTTCTACTCATATGCATTAAATATCTGCAAATGTCTGTGTGATTTTGTTAGAATAAAAACCATGGAAATTATCAATGTTATTAACATGAGACTCCCAGATATACTGTGAGATGAAAACAAAACTGAAAGCCCAAATTCCTTGAAAGAAAAGAATAGCTCCTTTGTATGTGTTAATTGTCAACTCACAAGAAAGGTCATAAATGAATCAACAGGCAATGTTTCAACTACGCAGAAACAAAGACTAGACAGAAAAAAACATAAGAATGTAATGATTCCTGTTAAAACATCTTATGTGAAAATACTGCCACCCACCATCATTTTTTTTCTTTTCTTTTCTTTTCTTTTGCTAACTACAGCATACTTTTTCAAAGAATTTTTGGCAACTCTACATGAAAATTATGTGAATTATTGTTGGATCAAAATTCCTTTGAAATAACTGCAGGTGTTCAAGATCCTGTCAGAGCAAATAAATTTTAAGTTCCCTGAAGACGCTGACACCAAGCCATTTCTCAGGCTCCTTTGAGGTGAAGCTCCTGTTGGGAGTGGCGTGGTTTAAATTGGAGACATACGGAGCTCTATGGAGCTCTATCCACTGAAGGCAGGAGGAAGCCTGTCCTACTGGCACAGAATTAGAACCTGACTCCTGATTTAATTCAGTATTTGTGAGTCTTTTTTCTGCTATGTATTCTCTCCTTCATTTCTTCTTAATTCATAGTGAAATGCTTCAAAAGGGCATTTCATTGCTAGGTTGGGAACTATAGCTTCTTAGGAATGTAATTTAGTGTATATGATGATGTTAATTATAATGTGATCTGCATTGGATAAATCATCTGTATTCACATTTATTTTCTTCAATGGTCCTCTTCAGGAAAAAGGTTTAAAGATATTATTTTTTAAATTAGTATAAGAAGTAAAATCTAGCAGATGCTTCTGCTTATTTAATGAATAAATGAATGTTATCTTGTATTTTAAGAAAAAAGGAAGGGAACTAAATATGTGTAGCAAATTACGAGTCACATGTTATAAGCATTTTACATGTCTCATTAAATTCTTACACAATAGAAAACAAATATTATTGTTCACATTTATTGATTAAGAAAATTGAGGGTCAAAAAACTTAAGTTATTCAATATCACACAAACAGTGACAAGAAAAGATTTTTCCAGCTCTACTCCTAATCATGACGATTTTCTTTCAATTTTATTCAGATTTCCAAAGGTTCTTTTTTAGGCTTTGATAATTGTCTCTACGGTATCTAGGTTGAATCATAATTACTAGTATGCAACTATTTTTGACTAATAAATATGTTATTCAAAGTAATGCTTATTTTCTATGTCATTTCCTATCTCATTATTTCTTTCCCTATTTTTTCATTTACTCTGATGTACTTCCAACTTTTTAAGTTTAAACATATAGTTTCTTGGTTTTTTTTTAGTTCTTTTTCTATTTTGCACATGAAGTTTATAAATTATAAGTATCTTGGCAATATACCAATAATTTTCACAAATGGTATTTCCATTATCATTTAGCTCCAAATATTTTCTGTTTTTAATTCCTTAACTCACGGGTTATTAAAAACTATGTTTTGAATTAACCAAATGTATTTAGGCATTTTTGTGGATTTCTGAAGTTGGGCTGTGGTCGAAAAGTGGTCTTTATGATACTAGTTTCTAAACATCATAAAATTTTCCTTATGAAACTAACATACAGTCAATTTTTATAAACATATAATATTTACTTAGGAGTAAAGTATATATACAGATTGTTAGCTACAAATTCCTGTTGTTAATTGTGTTGTTCTAATAGTCTATAACTTGGGTCTGCTTGATATTTAAAATATTGACAGACAAGTGTATTAAAAGGTCCCATTCTGATGGTGGAGTTGTGAATTTCTACTTGTAGTTAGTTAAGTCAATTTATCTTTCAATGTTTGGCACTATGTATATTAGACAGGGTTCTTTAGAAAAATAGAATCAATAAGATACATATATACATAAAATATACATATTTATATACAGAGAGAGAGAGAAATTTATTTTTAAAAATTGGCCCACACAATTTTGGGGTCTAATACGTCTAATTAGGGCAGCAGGTCAGCAGCCTACACATTTGAGTAAGAGTTGGCATGGCAGTCTTGAGTCCGCATTCCCCAGGATAGCTGGCTGGGAAGTTTAGCAAGGGTGTCCATGTTGCAGGCTTGAGAATTTCTTTTTCTTTAAGAAACCTCTGTGTTTGCTCTTAAGGCCTTCCTTCCACTGGTTGTTAGAGGTGTACCCACATTATGGAGGGTAATCTGCTTTATTTAGTCTACTGATTTAAATATTAATCACATCTTTAAAAACAGCTTCATGGCAATATCTAGACTGGTGTTTCATCCGACACTGGGCACCAGAGCCTAGCCAAGTTGACACATAAAATTAACCACCACACAATGCTGCTAAGCGACTACAATTTTTGAATTCATGGGGTTCCTATGAATTAATTTTTTAAGTATTAAGTGATGATTTTTATTGCTAATAATATACCCTTAATAAAATCTAAAGGTAATCAATATAATATTAGAAATTTAAAACACTTCCACCGAAATCAACTCACTCCTAACTTATTTTTGTCCATAATCTTATTTTTACCATTATCAGATAATCTCAAAATAGATATAATTATGGTTATTTTGTATAGTCATTTTTTAAAGTTTTTATCCACATATTTTTAGTTTATTTGTTCACTATAAATTTTTGAGTTTTGGACCTTCCTTCTGGGATTATTTCCCTTCTTTCCAAATTCACCGTTAGCAGTTATTTTAGTAAGTGCCCATGGGTTATGAGTCATTTCTTTTGTTTGTCTATTAATGGCTTTTTTCCAACATTCTTCTTTAATGATAATTTAGAGTAATATGAAGTCCTAGCTTGACAGTTGATCTCTAGTGTTTTCTATTCTCTATTGATAATTCTGCTATCACTGTAATTATGTGCAGATAATCTATTTCTTACTTTGGGTGCTTTTAAAACCTTTATTGTTTTCTATTTTACTATAATTTCACTATGCTGCATCTAAATATATATTATTTTTTATACCTGGAAATTCATTGTGCTTCTGGTGCTTCTTTATTTTACCAGTTTTGAAAAAGTCTCAGCTATTTTCTCTTCAAAATTGATTCTACTGTATTCTATTTTCTATAACTTCACATAAACAAATACTAAAACTTCTAATTCTCTTCTGCATATTGTACCACTCAGGCCGCGACGCCCGCCCGCCCGGCACGCACGGCACGCACGGCGCGACGCCCGCCCACCCGGCACGCACGGCGGGGACGCCCCGCCCACCCGGCACGCACGGCGCGCTCGGAGTCTGCGCTGCGCACGGCCCGCGGCGTTTGCTCTCGTGTGACGAGGACAGCTGGAAGCACTGAGAGCTCGCTTCACTTCACAGGCAGCTTTCCTTGTAACGTAAATCAGAACAGGTAACACACACATATATGTTTTCATTATGTTATGTTTAAATGTTCACAATTTTATTTTGATAAATGAAAAATTAGAAAAGTCACATCACGGCTGCCGGCTACGGTCGCTGTGCGCGCCCCTCTGTGGCCGTCGGCTGCGGTCGATGCTCGTGCGGAAGTGGTTAACTAACCTTTTATGTTTTTCATCGTTTTTCCTTCCACATAGCATTCTAGGTAATATCTTAAGCAGTAAGTTGCAGTTGAACAATTCTTTCTTCAGCTACGTCTACTCTATTTTACCTCTCCAAGAGTTCTGTTCTTATTTTTTTAATTTCATAGTTTTATTTTTATTGGTAGGAGTTCTATTTAGTTATTTTGCAAACCTGTACTTGGTGGGGGTTTTTCTGGTAATAATGCTAAGATTTTTATGCATTTTTCATATATTTAAACAATATAACTATTTTATATGAAATAATGTTGACATTCAATGTCCTTGTGGAACTAATTCTCCTATTTGTTGTTATTTTTGTTTTGTCTTAGTCTGTTCTAATTTTACTTTTCTTTATTGTGTTTTATAATTTTGCACTGTGAGCTCATGTTTGAACGTCTGGCCTTTTCCTGTGAAGACCATGCCAAGTCTGAGTCAAAGATTTTTGTTCGTTTCTGTCAGGTGTCCGTAGGAACTTGCTTTCCACTCTGGCCTCACTGAATAAATTTCTTGGCTTAGGATTTCTTTGACTATAAAATGGAATTATTTCAAATGCAATATCTGCTTAAGGCCATGTCTAGCTTTTTAAAAAAACTTTGTGGGACATTTTATTGATTTGTGCCCAGAGCCCAGGCTGAGATGGATTTTTCTTACCGTCTCCTTTTGCTGCCATGGATTTTCTTCCTAGTCCTCCATTTTACAGAGTGTGGACTTCTAACGGTCCTGACTTACACAGGAGTATTAATTCAAATTTCTCACTCTTCACAGGCTCAAGGCCATATCTCCTTTCTCCCATGTGACTAATGGGATCCAGAATCAGCAGAATTGCATTGCAAAATGAAAATGTGAAGCCTCTGGTTCAAAAAGCAGGAAAAAGTTGTCATGAAGTGACTAAAATATCAATTTTTTTTCCTTTCTTCCATAATCTCTCTCATGTCCTATGGTGTTTTTCTACTTAATCATGGATAGACTCACTGGGTGAATACAGACCCTCACAGTCACCCAAGAAGCCTGCCCTAAAGTGTGGTATACACAGTTCACCTGCTGCTAAGCTTTCCCTTCTGCCAGTCACCACACCAGTGTGCCATACGTGGCCAGGGTTGAGAAAGCTAATATCCTCTTCCCACCAACCCACCCACCCGACCCATAGCAGATGAGCAACCCCCAAGAGAACACAACTTGCAGGCTGAGACACTCTCAGTACCTAGATTAGGGGTGGGTTAGTGGGTGGGTTAGGGATAGGTTAGTGGTTTGTCCTTGTGTGAACCCATTGAACTCACTATCATGCTGCCAGTCCAGAGTAAGGACAGCCAGAACCCGCCCCCCACACACAGCCCAGGCCTCCCCCATGTCCATGCCTAGGCCCCCATTGTTGGCAGAGGGGAGCAGTGGTAGATGGAGTAGGTAGGGAAGAGAAGGCCTGGGTGCCTTGTAGTGGGCACTAGGTAGGAGTAGGAGGGCAAGGTTGAGTGAGGTCAAGGTGCAAGAGGTGGGGAAACTGGGCAGCTGAGAACTGCACAGTGTTTTCAGGCAGGTGGCAAGACATAGGACCAAGCCTGAGGTGAGAGTCCAAGTCCCCATCTCTTGCTATGTGGTCCCATTGAACTTCACTTATAAGCCACAAATGCTACGACACAATTATTAAGAATTCAAAAAGGCAACTATGCAGCATTAAACTCCAAGGCCCTTCTGACTATGACAGTACTGGTTGCCCTTATTCTCAGCTACTGTAAGATTAATTTTAGTTTTCAATTTGACTGGATTATGGGATATCTAGAGAGCTGATAAAGCATTACCTCTGGGTTTGTCTGTGAGGGTATCTCCAGAGGATGTTGGTGGCAAGTCCGGGTGCTGAGTGAGAAGATCTACCCCCATGTAGGCAGGCACCTTCTAGTCAGCTGGGTCCAGGATGTAACAAAAAAAGAAAAGGAAAGGCAATTTCTCTCTCTCTCTCCCTCTCTCCCTCTCTCCCTCTCTCTCCCTCTCTCTCCCTCTCTCTCCCTCTCTCTGTTTTAGAGCTTGGATACCCTTCTTCTCTTGCCCCTCAACATCAGAACTCCAGGTTCTCTGGTTTCTGACTGTGGGGCTTGTACCAGTGCCACCCGTCCCACACTAACTCCTACAACTTCTCAGACTGAAAGTTATGCTTTCACTTCTCCTGGTTCTGAGGCCTTTGGACTTGCTCTGAGCCACATGTGTGACAACCTCCCTGGATCTACAGCTTACAGAGGGCTTGCTATGGGACTTGTTAGCCTCCATAATCACATGAGCCAATTCCCCTAATAATCCTCCTCTTTTCTATCTATCAATATATGGTATTGGTTCTGTCTATCTGGGGAACCCTAACTAATACAGATTTTGGTAAGGAATGGTTCTAGAGGAACAGAATTTTAAAGAATGAGTTTTCCTGATTGGTTTGTGGGGTTTTGAAATTGGCTCCTTAATGTGATGAGAATTAAAAATACTAAGCTCTCTACACCCAGTAATATAGAGATCATGATAATCTGAGGCGTGACCTGTTTGTAGAGATATGAAAAATATCTGCATTGGATACTCCTGACCAACCACTTACAAGAGGCGAGGAACTTGGTGACTGGGTGTATGATATTTTCAAACATTTGTGGAAAACTAAGGACTATAATGACTTTGGTTGATTGCTCCTAATGTTGTCACAAGGCAGAGTGAAAAAAGAATGAATGTAAGGATTTGAAATCCTGCCTCCAGCTCCAGAGAGATAGCCTAAGAGCCTGCCTGTGTGTCCTGGAGAAGTTTCTTCCCTATGGGCCCTGAACTGAAATTGCTGAAAATTGAACACAAGCCTTCATCATGTACTTGGCTAAATTAAAAGGAAAGTTGAACTCTCAGGCTCACAGGGTGTCTACTGCCAAAGTGAGGGCATTGGTGGAAAAGAATGGGATCCTGTAAGCTGGGATGGGAACCTGTGGGAAAACTCTGATGAGGCTGGGAACATTGAGCTCCTGAATTCTGATAAATCTGTTTTTTTGCCAGGGATGTGGCCTCCTCACTCCTGCCAGTATCAGCCCTTCCACCTCTGTTGGAGGAGATCAGCACTGCATTGCTGAGGAAATGGCAGCGACCTCTCCTGAGGCAGTCGCCAGGCAAGACAATAGTGATTCTCCTCAGGACCCGCTCCACAGCCTTCTTGGCTTCTACACCTGGAACTTGGCTCCAGCCCCCCAGGGCTCTAGCAGTGAGCTACTAAGTGTGACCCAGGAGGAGGTACGCTTCACTCCAAAAAAACGACTTGAGTTTTCTAGTTCATACAAACAGAAATGTAGGGGACACATATTAAAGGTGTGAGATAATGGTAGAAAGAACATAAAGTTAGATCAGGCCAAATTTATTCACGTGGGCCCACTAAGCAGAGACTTTGCATTCATTATGGTAGCTAAGGGAGTTAGAAAAGGCACTAACTGTTTAAGATGGTCCACTGTGAGTGAGTCAAAGATGCTTCATCTCTCTTGGTTAAACATAGAGAAAATAATTCAAAGACTTAGGGAGGTTGGAATGCCAGAGTGGATTTGTCACTTCAAACCTACTCATGCACACTGAGAGGGTCTGGAAGAGGTACCATTCACCAGTACTTTCAGAAATAGACTAATGAGGGGAGTCCCAGCATCCTTGAAGAGCTCTGTGTTTGCCCTTCTCTGCAGGCCGGACCTTATAGCTGGAAGCACAGTCACTCAATTAAAAAACTTAAATGCAATGGGAATAATTAGATTCTAGGGTGGCAGGGGCCAAGTGGTGGCACATATCCACCAAAGGCAAGGTGGGCATAGGTACTGTAATAGACAGCAGAGGTAAAGCAATAATCACAATATTCTGACTCCTGTGGATCGGTGGTATTGCCTAATTAATCATGGTATTCCTAGAAGCGAAATTGATAAGAAGCCTACCAAATTCTTACTTGATGTGCATAAGCAAAAATCTTGCAGTTCAAGTAAACAACAGTATAAATAAATCAAATAATAAAAACAGAGAATCACAAGGGATATTAGTCTGTAGTTTTCTTTTTTTGTTGCATCCTTTCCTGGTTTTGGTACCAGGGTAATGTTCATTTCATAAAATGTGTTGGGGATGAGCCCATCCTTCTCAATGTTGTTTAATAATTTCTGCAGGATAGGCACCCGTTCTTCTTTGTAGGTGAGGTAAAATTCGGGTGTGAAACAATCTGGTCCAGGACTTCTCTTTTTAGGAAGGTTTTTTATTGCTGTTTCAATTTCAGTACTTGATATTGGTCTGTTCAGGACTTATATTTCTTCCTGGTTGACCCTATGGAGGCTGTGTGTTTCTACGAAATTATCCATCTCTTGCACATTTTCCAGTTTGTGTGCATAGAGGTTTTTGTAGTATTCATAAATTATATCTTGTATCTCCATGGCATCAGTTGTGATTTCTCCTTTATTGTTCCTGATGGAGCTTATTAGAGATTTTTCTTTTCTGCGTTTTGTTGGTCTAGCCAATGGTGTGTCAATTTTGTTTATTTTTTCACAGAACCAACTTTTTGTTTTATTAATCTTCCATGTAGTTTCCCTGTTGTCAATTTCATTTAGCTCTGATTTGATCTTAATGATTACACTTCTTCTGCTGGGTTTGGGGTTGGTCTGTTCTTCTGTTTCCAGCTCTTTGAGATGATTCATTAGGTTGTCTATGTGTATTCTTTTCGACTTTTGGATATAGGCATTTATGAAAATAAACTTTCCTCTCAGGACTGCTTTAGCTGTGTCCCACAGGTTTTGGTAACCTGTGTCACCTTTGTCATTTAGTTCAAAGAATCTTTTGATTTCCATCTTGATTTCCTCGTTTGTGAAGTGATCATTCAGCAGAAGGTTGTTTAGTTTCCATGACTTTGTATAAAAATGATAACTCATGTTAAGATTGATTTCTACATTTATTCCATTGTGGTCTGAAAAGATACATGGTATAGATGCAGAAATTCTAAACAAAATCCTAGCCAATCAAATCCAGGTGCTAGTCAAGAAAATAATTCATCACAACCAAGTGGGCTTCATCCCAGGGATGCAGGATGTATGTTCAACATACAAAAATCTATAAATGTAATTCACCATATAAACAGAAGCAAAAACAAAGACCAGATGATCCTCTCAATAGATGCAGAGAAAGCATTTGACAAAATTCAACACCCTTTTATAATAAGAACGCTCAACAAAATAGGCATGGATGGGGCTTACCTAAAAATGATACAAGCCATATATGACAAACTCACAGCCAATATCATACTGAATGGGGAAAAATTGAAAGCATTCCCACTTAGAACTGGAACCAGGCAAGGTTGCCCACTATCTTCACTTCTGTTCAACACAGTGCTGGAAGTCCTCACTACAGCAGTCAGACAAGAGAGCGGAATTAAGGGCGTCCAAATGGGAGCAGAAGAGATCAAACTCTCACTCTTTGATGATGACATGATATTATACCTAGAAAACCCAAAGTATTCAACCAAGAGACTCCTTGATCTGATAAATGAATTAGGTAAAGTCTCAGGATACAAAATCAATACACAGAAATCAGAGGCATTCATATACGCCAACAACAGTAAAAGTGAGAACCAAATCAAAGACTCAATTCCCTTCAAAATAGCAACCAAAAAAAGTAAAGTACCTTGAAATATATTTAACTAAGGAGGTAACAGACCTCTACAGGGAGAACTATGAAACACCGAAGAAGGAAATTGCAGAGGATGTAAACAGATGGAAGAATATACTATGCTCATGGGTCAGCAGAATCAACATTGTTAAAATGTCTATACTACCCAAAGTGACCTACAGAGTCAATGCAATCCCTATGAAAATACCATCATCATTTTCACACATACAGAAAAAATAGTTTTACCCTTCCTGTGGAACCAGAAAAGACCTCGTATAGCAAAATCAATCCTAGGCAATAAAAACAAAATAGGAGGCATCAATTTACCAGATTTTAAACTATACTACTAGGCTATAGTAATTAAAACATCTTTTTACTGGCACAAGAACAGGGTCATTGACCAGTGGAACAGAACAGAGGACACGAAATAAAACCATCCTCATATAGTCAACTAATCTTCAACAAAGCAGACAAAAACATACACTGGGGAAAAGAATCCTTATTCAATAAATGGTACTGGGAAAACTGGATAGCCACATGTAGAAGACCTAAACAGGACCTACACCTTTCACCTCTCACAAAAATCAACTCATGCTGGGTAACAGACTTGAACCTTAGTTGTGAAACTATTAGAATTCTAGAGGAAAATGTTGGAAATACCCTTCTAGACATTGGCCTAGGCAAGGAATTTCTGAAGAAGACCCCAAAGGCAATCACAACAGCAACAAAAATAAACAAATGGGACCTGATCAAATTAAAAAGCTTCTGCACAGCCAAAGAAACTGTCAAGATAGCAAACAGACCACCCACAGAATGGGAGAAAATTTTTGCAAGCTACACATCTGATAAAGGGCTGATAACTAGAATCTATTTAGAACTCAGAAAAATCAAGCAAGAAAAAATCAAACAACCCTATCAAAATGTGGGCATAGGACATGAACATAAACTTCTCAAAAGAAGATAGAATAATGGCCAACAAACATATGAAAAAATGCTCAACATCTCTAATCATCAGGGAAATGCAAATCAAAACCACAATGATATATCACTTAACTTCAGTGAGAATGGCCTTTATCAAAAAGTCCCAAAACAATAAACGTTGTCGTGGATACGGAGAGATAGGAACACTCCTACACTGCTGGTGGGACTGCAAACTAGTTCAACCTCTGTGGAAAGCCATATGGAGATACCTCAAAGCGATACAAGTAGATCTACCATTTGATCCAGCAATTCCACTATTGGGCATCTACCCAAAAGAATAAAAGTCACTTTATGAAAAAGACACCTGCACTCGAATGTTTATAGCAGCACAATTCACAATTGCAAAGTTGTGGAAACAACCCAAGTGCCCATCAATTCATGAGTGGATTAATAAAATGTGGTATATGTATAGCATGGAATGCTACTCAGTTTTTAGAAACAATGGTGATATAGCACCTCTTATATATTCCTGGATAGAGCTGGAACCCATTCTACTAAGTGAAGTATCTCAAGAATGGAAAAACCAGCACCACATGTACTCACCAGCAAATTGGTATTAACGGATCAACACCTAAGTAGACATATAGGAGTAACATTTATTGGGTGTCGGGAGGGTAGGAGGGGGGAGGAGGGGATGGCTGTATACAACCAAATGAGTAAGATATGCAACGTTTGTGGGATGGACACACTTGAAGCTCTTACTTGAGGGGGAAGGGGGGCATAGGCAATATATGTCATCTTAACACTTGTACCCCCATAAAATGCTAAAATTAAAATAATAAATAAAAATAAAAAACAGAGAATCATGACTTCTCAATCAATTCCTAGTCTTAATGCAGTTTACAGACCCAGAAGTTCTAGAATGAAATGGAGGACATGTCCCCTTGAGGAAGGACCCTGGTATACTACCTAAAATTTTTACTATTACTCTTTCTCCCAACCTTTCCCAAGGGGCCCTACAACCTTTACCAGGGTAACTGTGCATTGTAGAAAATGAAATAATCAGACCTTTTGTGGACTGCTGGATACTGGCTCTGAACTGACGCTGATTCCAGAAGACCCAAAGCATCGCTGTAGCCCATCAGTCAGAGTAGGGGCTTATAGATATCAGGTTGTAAATGGAGGTGTAGCTCAGGTCCACTTACAGTGGGTCCCTGAACCATTCTCTGGTTTTTCCCCACTTCTAGGCATACTTAGCAGTTGGCAGAATCCCCACATTGATTCCCTATTATTATGGTGGAAAAGGCCAAATGGGAACCATTAGAGCTATATTTACTTAGGAAAATAGTAAATCAAAATCAGTTCCACATTCATGGAATGATTGCAGAGATTAATGCCACCATCAAGGACTTGAAAGATACAGGGGTAGTGATTCCCGCCTCAACCCCATTCAAGTCCTTATTTGGCCTCTGCAAAAGACATATGGGTTCAAGAGAATGATAGTGGATTATTGAAATCATAACTAAGTGGTGACAGTTGTAAGTACTGTACCAAATATGGTTTCATTGCTTGAGCAAATTAACTCACCTCCTGGTACTTGGTATGCAGTTGTTGATTTAGCAAATGCTGCCTGCCCCCCTCCCCATACCTATCCATAAGGCCCACCAGAAGCAGTTTGCTTTCAGCTGGCAAGG